TAGGAAGAAGGTGGCAAGGGCAAACCACTTCCAAAAATCTTCCTAAGAAAACTGCAGAGACGTGTCTGTGTAGGTCATCAGGAGTCAAGTATGACTCAAAGTCATTGTGGGAGTCAATCTGATCTAGCGGTGATGGAACTGGACCAGGAGCAGGGAGACTGTGAGCTCTAATCCCACCTTGGGCACAAAGCCAGCTGGGTGACCTTGGGCCAGCCACTCTCTCTCAGCCCTAGGAAGAAGGCAACGGCAAGCCACTTCTGAAAATGATGCCTAGAAAACTGCAGGGACTTGTTCATGTAGTCACTAGGAGTCAAGATTGACCTGAAAGCAATGAGAGCCAGTTTGGCGTGGTGGTGATGCTCCTGGACTTGAAGCCAGGAGATCATGAGTTCTTCTCCCACCTTAGGCACAATGCCAGCTGAGTGACTTTGGGCCAGTCCCTCTCCCTCAGCCCTAGGAAGAAGGCAACGGCAAGCCACTTCTGAAAATGCCTAGAAAACTGCAGGGACTTGTTCATGTAGTCACTAGGAGTCAAGATTGACCTGAAAGCAATGAGAGCCAGTTTGGCGTGGTGGTGATGCTCCTGGACTAGAAGCCAGGAGATCATGAGTTCTTCTCCCACCTTAGGCACAATGCCAGCTGAGTGACTTTGGGCCAGTCCCTCTCCCTCAGCCCTAGGAAGGAGGCGAGGGCAAACCACTTCGGAAAATGGTGCCTAGAAAACTGCAGGGACTAGTTCACATAGGTCACCAGGAGTCAAGTATGACTCAAAGTCATTGTGGGAGTCAATCTGATCTAGCGGTGAAGGTGTTGGAGATGGTAAGTTCTATTCCAACCCTGGGCATGAAGCGACCTGGGTGACCTTGGGCCAGTCCCTCTCTTTCAGACCTAGGAAGAAAACCTAGAAAACTGAAGGAGCTGGTCCAGGCACTCACCAGGAGTCAAGACTGGCACCACGTGAATAAAAAGCAGAATATATCTTCAGGGAGAACAAAGATAGCCAACCACCACCATATTCAGAATACTTTTTTATCTTCCCTGCGTTGAGATCCGGCTATTAGATGTCACAGTGAAGTTAAACTCCAGCATCCCTGTGCTGTAGTATAAACGGAGGGATCCCAGCAACAGAGACAGCTGCTGAGACCAGGAAGCAGCTCTCCCATATTTTTCTCAGGCCGGTGGGCTGAGAAAGAATGCATTGCGATAAAACCACATCCATTTGCAGGAAGAGGATAATGGACCATGACATCAGCCCCAGTTTTAGAGACCATGTGTCCTGAAACTACATCCTGAATTACTACCAGTCTTCAACGCTGCTTTCTACATCATGTGTCCCAATTGCCATGTCAGGAAGCTAGTTTCCAAACTCAAGACACTGCCCGTGAGTCACGCACTCTGTTCCCTTTATGGGCATTACTTAATTCTTCATGCAATACTTCCAGCAGGTGCAACCAGGTATTTTGCAACCACTAAAAAGTTGCACCAAGCTTCGTATTTCACGGGAAGAAACCTGCTGTACGTGGACGTCCTCCTAGTCATGAGAAATTTAGCACAACTGGTGGGTGGCTATGCCTTCCTTTTTATTATCCTTAACAAACTAGGAGAGACAACCCTCAACCAAGTGGTCTTTGCTGAGCTCATGTTCAGCAGTCAGAACCTAATTTCTAAAAAAGGTCCAAGTTGCAAATCAGACACATTTGGAGTTGGAAATCACACAATGCTCAGTTGTGATAATTTCCTATGCCTAAATTTCATGACTTCCGGATTCCAAGAGGGGAGCGGCGTTAATCTTCAGCATTGGGAACAACAAAGACTTTGCTGTGGCACTTTAAAAATGACCCCATTTGTCATCTTATTTATTTGATTTATTATAGCTGTCCCACTCCAAAAAACTCTTACTACACAAGTTTTGTAGATCACAGTCTGTTTCATCAGACACATCCAGAACACAACTTGGAGTCACAATGAAATCGTAACTGGGTTTGCAAGACCTACAGAAGTCTCGGTGAGAAAAAGAAGATGTCCTGTCCTTCGCCCACCCGAAACACTGACATCAGTTGAATGAGTACTTCTGTCAGGGGTGTCGACAGGGTCTGTGTGTGTGTGTGCACCAAAAAATGCAAGACGGTTGTTATGGCAGCACATGTACAAAGGGGTGGGGCTTTGATTGTGCTACCATAGCTGCCACTTTTTGACCCTCTCCTCCAGATGCCACTGACATCTCCCAATCTCCTTCCCCAAGTTGAAGTCTTCCAGATGTGTTTTACTGCACACTCAAGAGTCTCTAGCCTGGGAAATTTGCAGCTTGTGGTTCAGGCTGGAGAAAGCTAGGCCACCTTCTCATCTCACTGCCACCCGTCCAGTCTTAAACTCTAGACTGACAACTCCATAGCAACAGATTTTTCTTCTACTATCCCTTCCCACAATAGACCACATTCATCAATAAAACCAGCAACCACTTTAAAAACATGGAACATCCTGCAATGGGGGCTGGTAGGCAGAGCACAGGTCTAATGGGAGATAACTTGGGTTTTCAATAGATGAAGATAACTGGAATTCTCCTTTCTGCCCCATTTTTGTGTCTTGCAAAGGCACAAAACAAGTGAGGAAAAGAAACCCACCAGTTTCAAGCATTCTTTCTGCTCCAGAAACTAAGGCGTGCAAATTAAATTAAGTTGTGTTCATGTAATACACTCAACCATGTTGTAGTTTGGTTTATCCTATTATCAAAACCCAGGCCATAACCAGTTTGTCACCATAGTTCATCTTATGTTAATTTACCTAGTCTAATAGTCTACCTTACAGCCCATTTATTGTCCAGGGAAACAAGACCAAGCAAAGGAATGACCAGAATGGCCCCTTTGGCAGCCATGTCTTGGCTGCTCCCATTTTGTTTTTCAAAGCAAAGGGGCTAGGGCAAGGATTAGCCTCCCCTCCCTCAGGAATTGGGACAGAGTGTGTGTGTGTGTGCGCGCGCGCCCGTGCACATCTGTTTAACATTTCAAACAAAGTAACTGTTGGAGTGGTGAGCAAAAGAGAAGAAAGCTCCTGTTGTTTGCTGGGCTGCCTTGGGGATGTTTATAGTCAAAACTTTTAACCATACTTAATGTTCAGCCTGATTCAGCATGTTGTGTGAATGTCTTCTTAGAGACAATCAGAGCGAGACGGGGAGAGCCGTGTGTGTGTGTTGGACTCCCACTGCTTAATTTTACACACGTGAGAGGTTCTCCCATGCCTGTCCTCATCCCAAATGTTCCACAGATCTTCCCCCTGCTTGAAGAGCTGGAGAACAGTATCCTGTCTTGCAAATTAACCCCTCTAGAAATCCGTGTTCCATTTCAAAGCTCCCTCAAGTTCCTGTTCCCATTATGGAAGAGTAGGCCAGGCAGCAAAATTAATTGAAGCCATCTCTTGGACCCGGCTCAATGTCGCCTGGAAGAGATTAAACAGCTTTGAAACTTG